TGGTTCGACGGTGGACGATTGAAAACGGCATTTTCGGTTTTTACTATGAAACGAGTAAAATTACGGTTGAATCAAGGCGAAAATTATGTGATGATTACGGAGAAGATGTGTTGACCGAATGCCAAAAATCGGTTTAGAAATTTCGATCTTAAGTATGCTACAGATACTGAAAGACATCTTGAAGCCGGTTTGGTTAAAATAGAATCATTGGTCATAGTTTTGCTTTCTTCAGAATGACAAGACAAGACGAAATATTTCCAGTCATTAAGCAAATAGTGGTCGCACTTGCGACTTGTCTTCCATGTCTCTGTTGACAGTCATAACTTCGAATTCGTAGATAATTCCGTCTATATTAGAACCAGCGTTAAGACCAACAGCAAGGTTAGCCTCGAAGTCCAACGCAGAATAACTTTCGATGGACGATGACAATATCTGATGAGTCCGAGCTACGAGTTTCGGAGAGAAAGGTTCTGCGGAGAATGAAAACACTCTGGAGGAAGCAGAGTAAGAGGAGGACCTCAACTCCTTTGGAAAGAGGAAAGTTGGTGGACTACACTGACACCTCACAGCGAAAAGGAGAACGACTGGTACGCTCGGCTATAACCGGGAAGGCAGTATTTACGCCAATTAAGAAGAAGAATAACAACTCGGATGTGAAATATGAAATTTTTCTAACATTACCGGTCACCAACACATGGAACAGCTTGACAAAATTTATTTCGTCACATTAACGACTGTGATTTGTTTATCAAACGTCAAAGAAGTCATACATGTTTGAAGCGCAATGTTATTGGATCACTTCGAAGGCCGATTATCAAAAAAAAAAACAAAGAACAAAGGTTTTTTGAGGTTTTGCCCGACAATATCACTAGGACAAATTGAGTGTTGTACTCAAACATAATAGACCAGAATTGATCAATAGAAAGAGTGTAGTCTCCCATCTTGATAATGCGAGAGATCTGACAAGTGTGATAACCCGCCAAATGCTTTTTGCAATTTGAATGGGAAGTGATACCACACCTACCAAGTCTGGAGAATATACTTGAAACCGGGGGATTACAACTTGTTCCGGTCTCTGCAAATTGTTTCAGATGGGAGGACATTCACTTCATATCAGGATGTCAAAACCCATATTGAGCAGTGTTTTGCCTGTAAGGCTCAAAAATTGTGTGCATGGAATCAATTTAGAGCTAGAAAGATGACAAAAGTATTGAATCTAAATGGAGGCTTTATAATTTCATAAAATGGTAAAATTTTGTAACAATAAAAAATCGTGATTAAAATGCTCGAGAAAAAAACGAAATTACTTAGTGAACAACACAATATAAACTTGTTTTGATTTGCTTTCGGCAATCTTTTTCAATCGCCCAAAATTGTTTAGGGCCGATTCAGTTGTTTATTCTACTAATATTTTACTATAATTGAAGCCGTTACTAATACTATTTGTTTTTTGACTTTTCACATATAAAGTTACAAAAACAGCTCATAGAAACTACACAATAAATTTTTCAACAAGGGAAGTTTGTTTATGTTTCATCATCTTAAGAGTCTGTGGTGAGGTCTCAGGGGTAACTCAATATGTAAGCACCGTATTATAATATTATTTGAATTGCTGAAATTCCTGCCATAAATTCAAAAACTTTTCACCTAGTAATCGGTTCAGTTGCCAAATGACAGCAAAATGGTTTGGAAGAGGAAACGTAATCTCTTCTCCCAAGGGATAGCATTACCTTCAGTTCAGTTAACTTCAGTAGGAAGCTCAACAGTAAGACAGAATGGAATTTCGCTTTCGAGATACTGCTTAGGGGCAGTATCTTGCTCTGCAAGGATGAAGCAGTTTAAATGATTTTTCACACAGAATGGGCTCTTTGGGGCTGAAGAGGGGAGTATTTTGATATTGCATAATTACACAAAGGCTTTAAGCATACACAAATATAATAGATAATTCTTAAATATATACTAAGACTTCTTACATAATAATATTATATGTTAAATAAGCTAGATCGCATATGAAACTATTAATATATTTTTGCATAACTATATTGTTTTTTCGGTGATTTAAATTTTATATCAATCATTTGTGTCACTTATAGTTCAAAAAAATTTATTTTGCTTACTTATCTCTATTTAATTGCCCACCACCGTACGCATTTCTCTATCAGCATATTGCTGCTCATTAACAATGGTACGCCGGTACACCGTTGCATCGTTACACAGGTAAATATTTTCCTTTTGGCATAATTATCTTTTATCATTTTCAGTTGGCGGATGCGTCGAATGCCCAAAACGCAAAACGATTACAAACAATGATCACACAGCGAACTTTGTTCTACCAACTACATGAAAAAAGTTGTATTTTCGATATGATTTAGGTAGAATGTATGTATGCGTATATATTTTATAAGCAAACAATAATCACTAGGCATTATGTATTTTCAAATTAGACTAAGCAATCATGACTCTTCTTATTGAAAGCAATAATTTTAGTAGTAAATTTTATGCCGTTAACAATAAATTAGTTGCATTACACATTAATAATAGTAGAAACTACAAATTCGTTCATTTTCGATAGCAGGTACTTCATTTCATACATTACAAGCATGTAATCCTATATGACTATTACAAACCTAAGGGGTCCTACACTTAACATTAAAAAAGTTTTTCTCAAGTCATACATCATTACAAGGTCGAACGAGTTAGTCCCAATGGCTACTACTGTCAGGAGCATCATAATGACCGAGCCAAAATGTAAAAAAAATCTTTAAATTTTTTTATTTTCTCAATGGCTGGTAATGGGAAATCTACTAGTCTATTTCTAACATCAGTTGGTCGGACACTGGTTACAATTTTTCGGACAACAAGGCGCACACTACATTCTTACACTCTTAACATATTATCAAAAGCTTTACAATAAGAGCGWCAATAATAATATAATATAATAATAAGATATACATATTAATTTATTACAGAAACTGTGTGAAGGGATATTAACACCTTGAGCCTCAGTGCCCTCTTAGAATCAATATTTTGGGAAAAAAATTGCGACAGTAAATTTTCACATCTATAGACAGGGACAGGTGGTAATCGCTTTACAGTCTTAATTACAAAATGGATGCAAACGGGTATTTCAACCAAGCACACAAAGCTTGTGGCGAGTCAGAATCGATATGTACAGCCTAGCTTTTGACTGCTGAAAACCAATTCCACCCAAGCCAAACAAACACTTGCTCCCAATGACACCAGAATGGTTTGGCAGTACATCATTACCAAAAGGATAAACTTCACCAAGAAGTTTAAAGTGAGCCTTAACAGCAAGGCTGAATGGATTGATTCCATTTCTCCATACTTATGGCAAGTTTTCCGAGCATTATTCAAGTAGAAGTCGTTTCTATAAGTCGGTGCGTAGATATAAACCTCCAACTCAACTATCGCAACGAAAGTATAACCAGCRACAGTCAAGCGGCACTTAAAGCAGTCTCTCCCTATAAGATTAAATGGCTACGGGTGCAGGAGTGTAGAGAACGGCTGAATAATCTAGCGGAACGTAACCAAGTGCACCTCATTTTGGTTCCAATCACAAAAGTATAGCCAGAAATTAACTGGCTGAAGAGCTCGGCCTCTCCGATTAACATGGTACGACACGTAGAAGGATTCATCGCGGTGGGTCCTTATACCATACACGAGCTGCTCTAATCTATTTATCTTATCTTATCTTAGTCTCCACCACTGTAGCCTTATCTTATCTTAATCAACTGTCCACTGCTGGACGATTTAGCAAATTCTTAGCGCAGCTTAGTTTTTGAACTTATGTTTTGATAGATCTTATCTGAAAACCTTAAACCTATAATGAAAAGGTGTTATCAATTCAGATACGTATGAGAATACATCTTTCACTAACAGTTTCTTAAATAATTTATTAATTTCATTTAGAAGCTTATGTTAAGTTAGGTTAATCTGGTAGACCAGTTTTCGTCCTTTGTGATACCAGATGGAGTTCAGTTACTAGATCTATGAGGGATAATCATCTTTAAGAATGCCTTCACCTGAATAGAATTTCATCTGAATCTGTCCTCCAGTGTATCATACCGTGGGATCCTAGATGATTAAAGTGTAGTATTGGCAATACGGGAAACGTGCACAAGAGGTGCTTCAATGTTTCCCTGGTGCTTTGGTCTAGACATTTCCCTCAGTCTTCTCGATCTGTCAGCCCCATTCTACAGGCGTGTGTCGCCATCAGACCGGTTAGTATTCCGATCATCTTCCTACAGTATTTTCCATTGAGTGGATGAGTCAACCTTTTTTGGTTTAGCTTTGTATCATGTTGTCATCTTGTTTGGAAAATAGATTATGGAAATGATTATATTGCCTTGACATATCAAAATGCTTATAAAAAAAAAGTTCTAATATGCAATACGGTATTCTATATCTAAGCATTTTTATGGTTAAACTAATATTGAACTTAATGATAAATTATATTCATCGATTATCAATCATACTGACTCAGTAATGAGGACTTTTTATGACCTTTCCTAACCTAATAGTCGCGAGAGCTTTAATATTTCCCTAAATTAGCCTGAAAATCTCTTAAAAATATGTTCCTTATATCCAAATAAATTCCATTAATGATTTAACTGAGATTTTCTAATTTAACCATAGCATTTTCTACAAGAACCAACAGATTCTTATACAATATACGTATAGCATATACTCGTACTCAGGTGGTTTTGTCGTTCTTTAGACTAACTTAAACTGTGGTTACAGAGCAGCAGCTCAGTATACCTTACTTACACTTAAACTAGTTAATTATTTGAGGCTAATAATGCATACCTAAACTAAGCGTTCATAAATCACATATCACCTACACACATTCCAACATACATATAGCTACATACGAGTATTTATATACTTAATAAACTAACGGTTTTTTATGCGCATAACAGTATTATTCTGTGACTGCAACAACTATCCTATTTACATTTAAAACCACGTGCTACCTTCTATTAAAAACGGCTTTGCTCCATGCCGTCACTAAAATTTCCCGGTATTGAAAAGTCATAATCCTCATCGTTCTCCTCTGTCACTTCCTGCAGAGCCTGCAAATTATTTTGCTTTTTCGTATTTTCAATGCTGCGATTTCGCACGTCCACATCGCTGATAACGCGTAAACGGCGCGTCGACGAACGTGTCAGATATGAGGAGCGCGTCGTTGAGCTGCGCCGGAGGTGGCCGCGTCCCAGCCACAGACGTCGGAATTCCATGCGAAACCGTGGATGTGTCGCCGCATAGAAGTACGGATCAATGCAGGCGGCAGTCTTGCAGAAGAGTGCAGGTATCATGGAACCCAGTGGGGTTAGATATTTTTGCTTGCCAAAAACGCCCATCATAGCAACGATGGAGTACGGTGTCCAGGCTAGAAACCACAAACCGATTATGCCCACCACTATAAGCGCCAATTTTTGTTCAGTCTTATTTTTGTCTTTGCTGGATTGTATACGATTGGCGGCGAACACCACTTTCAGTATGTAGAAGTATGAGAAACAAATGATGCCGAAGGGCACGCACCAAGCGGCCACAAAGAATGAGAACATAAATATACGCGGTCCCACACCTTTGTCTAGATAATCGAAACTGCAAGTGGTGAGGAAACCTTCCGGCACATACACAGATAAGCCAATATCTAGCGCTGGCACAATGGAGAAGGCGAAACTGTAAATCCAAATTAGTGTGATTATATACGCGGAACGCACTTTGGCTGTCTTGCGCAGCGGGTCGAGCGGATGTACGACTACATTGTACCGATCGAGTGCTATAGCAGTTAGAGTCCCTATTGATGCGGTGCCACTGAGACCGCCAACAAAGCCGTAAATGCGACAACCTGTCAAGAGAAAGAAGTAAAGAGAGAGTAAATGACAGAATGATTTATTAACATCCCAAGCTTAATTATGTTTTCGGTTAATATATCGAATCTGTTTAATCTTAAAAATTTCTTATATCCTCCCTACTTACCAATATCACCAAGCGCAGGACCCTGCTTGAAATTATTAAAGATCGCAATGGGACATTTCATTAACATGAGAAGATCACTCACAGCCAAATTGATGACCAATGTGTTGGCCGGTGTGCGTAAGGATTTGCATCTGAAAAAAAATTTGAAATATATTGAAAACTATTCATTGAAACTGAAATAATTCGTTTGGTGTGGTTTAAAAAAACCATAAACATATGATTTACGTTAAAAATTTTAATATCAAGAGTAGGACACTCATCGAGGACCCCGACAACCTTTTATTTCGCTAATATTTATATTTTCAAGAGAACCATTGACGATGAGTTTCATATTGACAACCGTTTTGTTTAGAAAATTTTCAATCGTAGTCACTTTGGCTTATTTCCAAATTCTGTGGGACTGGTTTTGGTCACGACAATGTTGGAAACAGAATTTGCTTCAAATAAGTCAGTGCGTCTGACAATTGGCACCGTGGCCAGCTATTTACTCTGAATAATATACATATGTATATATAAAGTTTGTCACGAATTCTTTAACGCTCAGAAAGATACTAGAAAGTATATAATACTATGAGAAAAATTTAGTAAGGTTTTGTTCATAATTTTAAAATTCTTAAATAATTTTTCAAAATCTATGTGGTTCTCTACAACTTGTCCCTAATTCACTTGTGCCAACATTTTCGACAATCCTCGGGACAATTATTACGGAAGTCAATTTTAATGTCTTTAAGCGACTCAAAACGGTTTCCCCAGAAACGTCGTTTGAGGTTGCTGAATAGCCAGAAGGCATACGGAGCTAAATTAGGCGAATACGTTGGTTGCGGCATGATATTGGTTGAACATTTGGCCCTAACTCACGAAGAATCAACGCAGTATGCCACGGTGCATTATCGTGGTGCGACAATATCAAGAGTTGTTGGCCCATAATTCTGGTATTTTTTTACTAATATGATACGTAGCAAACGACGCATAAAGTAGTATTGCTTGTTGCTAGTTTGAACGGTCGGAAGAAATGCGGAGTGCACTGCAACTTGATAATCGAAGAAAACTGTCAGCATAACCTTTATTTTTGACCTGCTTTTACTTGGGTTTTTCGGCTTCGGCTCAACTTTCCCACAATATTCGGTCGATTGATCGTATGTTTCCGGGTAGTAAGCATAAAAGTATTATACGTCGCGGAAACGTGGGCGATGACGAACCAAGATGAGAAAACACTTGAGGTGTTGGAGGGAAGTAATATTCGCAAGAGTTTTAGATAGATTTATTTAGACAGATCGCGCGTAGGTCGTGTCGAGTTGAAATGTTATTTCTGTTCAGTATTGTTAGGCATTTCATCATGGAAAGACTTTCGGTCTAAAAACGTTACACCAATCGTTCCACTTTATTTCGAAAATTCACGTTCTAGAAATAATGTATTTCGCGCGCTTCGCTCAACTTACGATCAACATAATCGGTCTACTGAGCGTACTATTCGCAACATCATCACCCATCTTGAGACTCAGCTTTAATTTTTTAATAATGTTCGACCGAATATACCACTTCCAGTATGCAGTGAAGAAAATATAGTAACCGTAGCTGAAAGTGTACACGAAGACCGTGGGGAGTCGATTCGACGTCGTTCGCAGCATTTCGGTCTGACGTATGGAACGGCTTAGCGCATTTTACGTCGAGATATAAAATTGAAAGCGTACAAAATTGAGCTTGTGCAAGAACTGAAGCCGCTCGACCTTCTCAAGCCACATCGCTTGAAATGTTTCAAGAAGATCGATCTGACGTTTTCGCGCCAAATTTTGTTTAGCGCTGAGGTCCATTTGTGGCTCAATGGGTATGTAAACAAGCAAAAACGCCGCATTTGGAACGAAGAGCAATCTGAAGAGATTCAAGAGCTGCCATTTCATCTAGAAAAACGGTACTTTGGTGTGGTTTATGGGACGTTGGAATCATCGGTTCACATTTTTTCAAAAATGATGTCGATGAGAACGTAGCCGTCAACCGACCGTTATCGCGCCAAGACCAACTATTTGATGGCTGAAATTGAAGCTCGTGATCTTGTCGACATTTGGTTTAAAAAGACGGAGATAATTTCACGTTTTGGGCCAGTCGTTTGTCCACTAGGATCGACTATTTCCTTTGGGGATATGTAAAGTCTACAGTCTATGAGGGCCATGCCGCTTCAAATCAGGGCTTCGAGCAAAACATCATCCGCGTCGTTCGCCAGTTATCACTAGAAATGTCCGAACGAGTCATCGAAAATTGGACGCAACAGATAGACCTTCTGAGACGTAGAAGCAGTCAACATTTGAAAGAGATAATCTTGAAAAATTCATTCCCCATTACTTTTTGAAGTTTCTGTGTTTTTTCTTAGCAGTAGGGAACTTCGAAATGTATCATCCTTTACTTTCAGAGGTAAGCACGTGTACCAAAAATATCATTTTTTTTACTCATAGTCTACAATTGCGATCTACTGGGTAATTTAAGAAATTCTAAACACTGTAATGTGCCACCTTCTATTTATCCCTCGCTCTTTAACAATATATCTGCGTGTCAAAGCAGAGTAGGGGTGTGAATAGCTGAAACCACATGTAAGATATTACTAACATACCGAATATACCATTGATATTCATATTGAAAGGAAATATGCAACTAATTAAATGAAACAGTTATAGTCAAAGCTATCTTGTGGGTAATGTCAACCAATGCAAAGAGGAATGTTAAGGCTTGATGTACAAGTTTGCATTTGATGTAAATAATTTGGAATAAAAGCTTGGAATTCTCAGAATATGACATGAGTGACAACTAACTACAGGTCTCTGTTTACTATTTCAACAAACGAACTCGAAAATATTATGACTGATAATATGTTTGAAACGGTTTCTTAGGAAGAATTTTGCATTGTTACAGACTGAGGAGAAAACCCCAACCAAACAATTCATGGTATTGCTTATTTACTAATATAGAAAAAATGTATTAATTCGGTTAGCGTGCCCAGTCTAAATGGGTCAGTCCGAGTCAATTTCGATGAGATGGTAAAGAACCCTCAAGGCGTGTTGAGGTTTCTTAGTTACATAATAAAGTAAAATATCTTTAATGAGAATCTTTATCTTGACTTTGATCGCACTATTTTTAAATGGCAGCTTTGTGCTATAGTGGTTCGAGTTGAACTTTTTGATCGGGAATTGTAGCATTCTCTTGTATAACAATCCACCATATGTATTGGGATAAAAAGTCCTACACAAAATTTCTGATCAATATCTCAAAACCTTAAGGAGTATATTGCGATTATGTACAGATAGACGGTCATGGCCAAATCGACTTGTCACACTTATCATTTATATATAATATAGGTATACTTTACACGGACTCTGACGGTTCCTTATAGGCTCTATAAACTTTTTGACATAATGTATGTGGCGGTATAAAATCTTTTGCTTCTCAATTTATTAATTTCAATTTCAGCAGGTGATTTCCGATACCTCTTTCTATCCCAATACATTTATAGATTGTGCAAACGCCGGCAAATATGCCATTGTCCACAGTAACATTGCATATTCAGCACTTTATCAAATCTCCTTCGTAGGAATTCAGATTGGTAGATGCACATAACTGTTACGATTTCACCTCGACATTTCATTGTCATGTCTCATTAAATCCCTTACAAACATAGTGATGACACATATTCTCTCTGGCTGGTAATGTGTGAATAGCACGTGTGCTTTCGAGATGAACTGTACACTGTTTGCAAGTCAACTAGCATAATTTTCCTGGAAAAGACTTTACTATTCAGTTGCCTGATTGTTTTGGGAGGAGATATCCAAATGTTACGCTCAGTCATCGTTCGGGTCAAAGCTAAGATTTTATTACACAAACAACTGGCTTGTGGATCGCAAAGGTAACTTTCACAGAAAACTTAAATTTGATTTAGAGAGAGAGAGAGTTAAGTTGAAGCCAACTTATAACTATTGTATATAATTAGTCACGAAATGAATTGATGGTTAATCAAATTGAACTAGTTAGAAAAACAATACATTTTATATTAATTACAAGATTATTTCTTAATAACAATAAGTCGATAGCCAGGCTGCAATTATGGCAATAATTTCACATAGTATTTCATCATAGAATGTTCTTAGAAGCAGAGACGCAGTAAATGTAACGGCTGTATATATACCGGGTACCTCAAAAATTGAGATATCTTGATACGCGCGTAGTAAAAAAACTTTCAAGTTCGTAGTTGGGCGTTATCGGACGAGACATTAAATTTTACATCCGATACGGCATGAAAGGGCTTTAATGGATCCGGTTTCAAAATTTAATGTTGGGCGCGGCACTGCCCACTTTTAAGTGAAATCATATATCTCGAAACCCGGTCCATTTTTAGTTTACAGTGTGAAAGTAGGTGAAATCGTTTACTCCCCGGTATCCATAGTGGAGTTTTAATCGAAAATGGGATTTACAACGGAAATTCAGAGAAAATCTTGTCCTGATAATAGGGTCTCTGTGTTTAAAAAAATGGATTGAATCAGGTCAATACTTCCCTGAGTTAACATATATCTAATATAAAGATTTTCGAATCCAGGTCACTTTATACCGCGGGTCACTTTTTATCGCATATGTGAGTTATCTTAATAAAATTGAGAGAGCGCATTTTCCTTATAATAGTATATGTTTGTGCTTAGAATGAATAAAATCGGGTGAAAACTCGCCATGGATTCCACACAATTAATAGGACTTATATACCTAAAGGTACTTCCCTGGCTTTAATATTTTCAAGCTGCAAGAGTTTGAAAAGTTCGGTTATACCCGGTTTTACTTGTTATTGTTATAAAGTTTCCGCCGAGATGTTTGAGAGCAGGCAAAAGACACCTTCTGGAAATACAGAGATCAATTCAAGCCATTTTTGCTCCCGCTCTCATTGATTTGTAATAAGTGGTATCAGGCTCGTGTGTCTTCCAGATGACACAGAGTTTTCGCATACACATTCATGACCAATATTTACAAAATTTTATTTGATACTTTCGGGGTATCACCGATAATCGATCTATCCCTTCTCTCCCCATAAATTTTATTTACTTCCTATTTATTTTCCTTAGAAATTCCCTTTTCGTTTGAATAGGTTTTGCAAAGAAGGGCACTTTGCGTATGTAGACATGAGTATGTGTGCGCCTAGACTTACCGTACGAACATAAATATGACCAGTGAATTGCCAAGACAACCGATGCTTGATATGATGATATAAATTATGGCCATAATATAGTAGGTGCGGGTGCTTGGCGGTTCGAATTGCAACCAAAATGGATTTATTCTCTCTATGTATGAAACATCATAGTCGCCATGGTAACGTCTTAGCGCAGGATAAGCAGAGCTGCAATTATAGAGAAAGTTATCAAATTAAAGCTTTTGTACTAAGTAAGATTTTGGTATAAATTTATATGTTTCGACTGAAAGAATTGTACTAGGGTGGTAACACAAAAGTTGTTTGCTAAGTCGGAGCTTTTGTAAAAGTCCAAGTCATTGTTGCAGTCAAAAGGTCACAAAGTACAAAAATAGAGACTTTTAAATAGCTGATAAAGTTAGTCGAAATAATGCAGAACTAACATTTAATAACACTTAAATCTTTGTGCTTGAGTTTAGTTTCAAAAAGAATTATATATATGTATATGGCTTCGCAGAACCTTAGGTATTTAATTTTTACCAGAGATGTACTCTCGGTAGAAATCAATTCCTGTCCAATTCAAATTCAGAAGCAGGTTGCAGCATTGCTTCATTACTGAAGACGATTCTGCTACGAGTATTATTTTTGCGGGGTTAGATTGAAAATTTAAAGCTCGAAGCTCTGCACAACTATTGGAGTTTCATGATTTTCAGAGCAGAAATACATCCGAAGTTGTGCGTTACCTGTGTAGAAGCATCCGCCAACATTTTTGTATATGACAAAACACGTTTCACTTTACTGTTTACTTACAAGTTGTAAAACATTTGAAAGATTCGGAAACTGATAAGACACTTACAAAACGACAAAGCGCTTTACGCTCAGTTTCGGCTATGTGATGTGACGATGTGACATTTTACGTCGAGCTTGTGCAAGAACTGAAGCCTCTCGACCATCTCCAGCAACATCGAAAAACAAAGATTTGATGTGGTTTGTGGGCCGGTGGAATCATCTGTCCATATTTCTTCAAAAATGACGCAGGTTAGAAGGTAACCGTCAATGGCGACCTCTCGTAAAACTCGTGATCTCGGCGATATTTGGCTTAACAAGATGTTAGACTTTTTACTGTGGGAAAAAAGGTCTAAAGTGTATGCGGACAATTGCTTTTCGATTCAGGCTTTAGAGCGAAATATCACTTATGACATTCGCCTGTTACCAGTCGAAATGCTCGAACGAATCGTCGACAATTGTACTCAATGGATGGATCGCGGCCAGAAAATATTCAAAAAATAAATGCCAAAGAATTTTCTTTAGAACGATAACAAACATTCTCCCTTAAATTTTAAGTTTCTGTGATTTCTCTTTAAAAAAGTGTTACTTTTCTCGAAATGGATCACCCCTGATTTGGGCAAATTTGACTGCTCACAGTAAAGGTAAAATTTTTCCTTTAATATAAGCATCTATTGAGTATACTAGCGTATTTTTCACATTTCTTTCACTTAGTTTAATTTTTGCAGAAAATTTAAAATGCTACACAAAAGAACTCGCAATTCTGGCGAAACAAATTGGAATCTTGTTTCTTACACCGTATTTTAGTGAACAATGTCACGCTTTTTTTATACACACTTCGACGAATGACTGCTTAAACGTCAAAAAAATATCTATGTACAGGGTGAATCATCATTTATGTAAATAGTGCAGAGTTTTATTGGACGAATAAGTTGCTTAGGCATTTATGTATGGAGTCATTGTATAAATGTTCACGCAAGTGAGGAAATTTCTCTGATCGCTATTCCCTTAGAAGTGGCCGGAAACGATTCTTTTACATATGGCTCAAGCAGCTCACGTTTTCCGGTCCTAGAAAAAAAGAACTCGTCTGGGTAGCCAAAAAACATCCGAAGTCGAATCATCTCCTCAGAGTTGTGCGCTGGGTTTGGTACCCGCCAAGTAAAAGAAGACCTAAATCGGTTGACGCTGATCGCAATCCTAAGCACGAAATTTACCAAAACAACGCGACAAAATATTGATTAATTGTTCTGATGGTCGGAGGATCTTAATGAAGTTAAAAGGCAGAATGTTGCCGAGAATATACAGATTATTCCTGACCTCAATTTCTTGACGCTATTATTTCTATACAACTTAAACATACTGACCAAAATCCCCGCTATATGGCTTGATATTCTCGAAAAATCTTAGAAAGATAAATAAAAAGAGCTTATTCCGCCATTGAACGAACACTTGATTAGTCCCCAATAAATGGTAACGAAATAAAAATAATTCAAATATAATTGCAGGGTTTTTTAAAAGTTCTTCGGCCGCTATAGGAGTCGCTGCATCCTGTATTATGTCGTTCCCGCAGAAACCATAAACGTATTCTTCACATTAATCTGCAAAACGTCCATTTATATTTTTCTGTGGAAGCCTATCAGCATTCCTTTGAGGTTCTATAGTGACTCACATAGAGTACCATATGCCCCCAATTACTAACCTACACTATATGATAACTTAGTATGTGCGCACAGCGAAGCCGCAGTCGAGTATGTAATAATATAATACTTATTTATGACGGATTACCTCGTATCCACAGCCAGTTTTAATGGCGAAATTTTCGATTGTCATAACTACGCACTAATAAGACGTGATATGACAAGCCAGACATGGGTTAAGATGTGCGTTATGATTATATGGAATAGTTAAGACGAAAACGAATATGTTGAAATATTAAGAGTCGCATAACACTTGCAGTTAGTGAATTATGCTGTATAGGTTGCAGTGGTCTTATGGACTCTGACTTTAAATTAGTAATATATTGGATATAATGGAAAAGAGAAGTTGAAGTCTATCGATTTTACTAGTGTGAAATTTTGGTGCATAGTGATTTTTTTTATTTTCTCTCGCTGTCACTTAGACTGAAAACTAGAACCGATTGCGGAGCTTCTAATAGTTGGCTCATCACTATTGGGAGTGAAATCATAACGTAACTCTAAAAATCTTTGATTTATCGTTTGCATAGACGGACGGACGGAGAGGCGGTCCCTCGGAAATTCGATCGCTTCGTTATTCTGATCATTTGTATAATTTGTAGTTGAAAAAGCCTTTCCTAGTTCTAATCAAACTTCAACTTTTCTTTTTTTTTTTTTAACGAACTTTAATGAACCAAATATGTACCATTTTAATCSACCACTTTTTGCTATTTTTCCCCAAGAGACATTATTACATCAGTGTAAAACTTTTCTCTTTAATATCATCAGTTGTTGACAGTAAAATGTATAATCAGTCGTTGGATCAGGCAGGAGAAGCTCATACTGGATGATTCCTTCCCAATCTTATCAAACACTCAGCATAACCTTTCGAGGCGTCAATGCTGGCTTTGCGACCATTTGTTGAGCTTCACCACGCTTGGACCATGATCTTTTTCGCACATTATTGTCGTGTTTGATCCACTTTTCAGCTCCTGTTATCATTCGCTTCAGAAATAGTTCAATTTCATTTTGTTAAGAATCGCAGATGTTAATTCGGTCCATTAAATTTTTCACAGATAGTTCATGTGGTACCCAAACGTCGAGCTTCTTTTAGTAGCCGGGCCTTCTTAAATGGTTCAAAACCATTTGATGATGAATGTTAAGTTCCTTAGCGATGGCATGACTGCTTATGTGACGGTCCTGGTCAATCTTTTCCATCATTTCAGAATTTGCAAAACGGAAGCGAGCGAACCTTTGTTGTGCTACACGAACTGATACATCATCGTCTTCGTAAACTTCACAAATTTCATTGATGGCTTGCGTGGCATTCTTCCATTTTTTTTTTACAAAAATTTTAAATTATTTCGAATTTCACATTATTTTCACAAATTTTTGAAAAGTTTTAACTTTTCTCATTATGAGATTGGTAGCACTGTGGATATACAACATACGAAAAGACTTTTTTGACTACCCAATATACATATATATGCTATATATATATATATGTATATGTATACATCGATTATTTTTGTGTGAAACAAACATAGGTGGAGGATGGAGCCAAAACGATTATTTTCCCAAGTAGCTCACGTCTTAGACCAAGTATCCTCGGGGTAGCCAAAAAAAGCATACGTTTGAAGGCGAGCTAAAGTGAGAAGTCGAGGGTTGTGCGCTGGCGTCTGCCCTGTATGAAAACTTCCAGCTTGGAGCGCACCTATGAGAGCTGCCCCGACCGATGTCAAAATCGTGCTTGATGACTTTAAACTCTGGGTGAGCAAAAGAAGTAGCATTGGCACAACGGTCGGTAAATTCAGCCTCCATAATGAAACATCCTCAAATGAGTTTCGGCTGCCTACCTAACAACGCTACAATTAACCAAAACATTTGCGTGATGGGATAGACACTAAGAGTTGAAAGGAAGCGGGATGCATTTACAGACAGAAAGAGAGATCGAAATGCATGAGTACGAAGAGCTTGACAAGATAGCCGACAGGGGTAATGCTCGAAAATTCTACGAAAACGACTTATGGAAGGACCCAAAATGGTGATCTAATAATTGATGTCCAGAGCATAATGAAATTGTGGTGGGGAGTCTTCCCCTGCCTGCTGAATGGTATTGAAAGTATAAAACTAGGAGATGGTAAACCCGCCTTCGACAGCACGAAAAAGAACTGCCTCTATTCTGCTTTGCCTGGTATCCTCGCAAAGCTAACAACGCTGTATAAACTGACGTTGAGTAATGCCAAAAACTGCGTCAGGATCGGGTAGAACCTCTCTGAGCCGTTCGATATAAAACGAGATTTAAGCTGATGAATTGGCGTTCTGAATCCTCGAGAGAAGATGGTGCGGAAGGTTTACAATTCTTTGTGAATTGGCAACTTTGAATGTACCGGCCGGAGGATGCAGAGGAAGAGGAAGAGCTCTATCCATTGGAAATACCAGGTGGAAAAGAACCCGGCATCGCTTGAAATCTCCCATTGGTGACAAACAGTGAAAAGGAATAACTAGCTATAAACGCGTAAGCGACTTTTACGCCATTAAAGAAGAGGAAAAGTTGTCACATTATAGGTTTTCGGTTTATGGCGTTTTGTGGGGGTAGCAATGGCCCGATTACTTACGTACATGTACGAACTTCCTTTCATCGAGTTATCTCAATTTTTATTCAAGTTACTGTTTGCACGGATGGACGGATGGGCAGACAGACAGTCACCCGAATTTCAACTCGCCTCATCATAGGAGGATGGAGTCATGTGTAGAAGTTCACGCAAGTGAGGAAAGTTTTCTGATCGCCATTCACTTGGGAGTGACCAGAAACGATTCTTTTACATATGACTCAAGTAGCTTACGACTTCCGGTCCTTGACCAAGTATCCTCTGGGTAGCCTAAGAACATCCGTTTGAAGGTGAGCTAAAGTGAGAAGGCGAAACATTCCCCTGCATAGGGTTGTGCGCTAGGTTTGGGACCCGCCACGTAAAAAATCCACCCGAATGACAACGCAACAACAGCATCGGATGAGAGACCCCACTTTTGATTATAAGTCACTCATAATTCTCCTGCTATATGGTGCAGAGGCTTGGACGATATCAACAACAAATGAGTCGACGTTGCGAGTTTTCGAGAGAAAAGTTCTGCGAAAGATTTATGGTCCTTTGCGCGTTGGCCACGGCGAATATCGCATTCGATGGAACGATGAGCTGTACGASATATACGACGACATTGRCATAGTKCAGCGRATTAAAAGACAGCGGCTRCGCTGGCTAGGTCATGTTGTCCGGATGGASGAAAACRCTCCAGCTCTGAAAGTATTCGACGCWGTACMMGCCGGGKKWAGCAGAGGAAGAGGAAGACCTCCACTCCGTTGGAAGGACCAAGTGGAGAAGGACCTGGCTTCACTTGGAATATCTAATTGGCGCCAAGTAGCGAAAAGAAGAAAAGACTGGAGCGCTGTTGTTAACTCCTCTATAATCGCGTAAGCGGTGTCTATGCCAATCAAGAAGAAGAAGATTTATTTTAATTATGCACTAAAAACAAAAACAGTCGTTAATTTCAGATGGCAGTTTGAATGGCAGCTATATTATAGCGTTGACTTGAGTAAAAACCTTTGACAAATTCTGTGAACATATCTCATTCAATAAAAAAGTTTTCGATGGAGGACTTTATTTTAATTAATCAACTTGTTTCGAGGTTATATGCTATAGTGGTTTGATATCGGTAATTACTAGAAACAACCACTTTATTGAGAAAATAAGGACGTGTGCAAATTTTCATCTCAATAACTCCAAAACTGAGGTACTAGTTCGTGTCTAACTGTCAAAAACTCTAAAATTATGTGCACTAACATGAAACGGCTATAATCGCTTAGGCGGTGACTACGCCAATCAAGAAGAACTTATCAAAACACCCTGTTTCATTCCATCGTAATACATTAGCTAAGTTGCTTTTGTGCGTCCCCAACCTTCTCTGTCTGTCATCACCCCTCAACTGTGAAAAACTCAAGAGAGCTTCTTCCAATTTGTCTAAGTTCATGTCATGCTTGCACAGTTGCCCACAGTTGTGTGCAAACACATACATATCTACATAGGTATATTTGTGTGCATGTCTCCTTCCACTTACCTCAGCGTTTCATTTGCCAAATCCATTTCAATTAAATCGACTTTGTCAGTCGCTGATAGATTCAACGTCGGCCAACTAACGCCATCGACTGACCAGTTATTGTTTGTGCTGTTGTTGTCAAAGCCGTCAACACTGCCGGCGGACGGCAACATATTGCTGGGTATATTCGCCAGCGCCATGGAAGCGGAGGTTGAGGCTATTGTTGTTGCAACAGACATAATGGCACGTCCAGTTTGACTGCCAAAGTTATCGTTATTATTATTTGTGGTGTCGTTATTGTTGTTCTTGTTGTAGCTGTTGTTACTCTCAATCATTGGCGCCGTGTAGGAAATGCTCGGAGCGTTGTTGGAGTTGTTGCTGTCACTGTTGTTGTTGCTTAAACTGTTGCTCGCACGCTTGTTAATGCCGCCGCGGCGACGATTGCTATTCCGGACACGCCACGTGATAACCATTTCAACAGTGTTGCATACAGTCGCAGTCTGTGCCCCGAGCAACACGTCCAAGGAAATTATGTTGGTGCTTATTTTGCTTATGAGAATGTCAAAGTTGAGGTAGCAGCAGCTGCTGTTGGCGTTGACGCCAGCGCTTGTATATTGTTGCACTCGTTTATGTTGTTGCTGATGTTGTTGTTGTTTCCGTGCGCTATTAATTATCAACACTTTGTTTTCGTCGATTTTCCTTGCCACCTTGATCCGTCTTTGACGCTGCCGCTGGCGCTCTCTTTGTTGTTTACGCTCCGAATTATCAAAAGCAACAACAATTGCTGCTTTATCAACGGAATTTATTTGTACTATATACTTGGCTGCTTGCGTTGGCAAGCAATTGCTGTTGGTGACCTTATTATTATTATCGTTGTTGTAGTGTTTGTTGTTGCTTTTGTTATTTTGGTAGCTGCCTTCGCTGCTGCTGAAAATGCAATCACCAACTGCTGCTGCTTCTGCTATTCTGCTGTTGTTGTTGTTGTTGTTGCTGCTGCTGCCCATTTCAACACCACTTTGGAATTTGTTGCTTTAATCACTTGTCGTTAAACGCTACAGTTGTTATCGTTGTTGTTGTTTCTTTTTTCTTCTGCCAACTGCTGCTTGGTTATTGTATAACTTTTCGACGTTTTGCTCGCTTTTATTTTTGAAATTTCGGTTGCCTCAGTGTGGCTGTTTACGCCGGCTGTTGCCAGCTGCGCTTGAAACTGGCGTTTTTCCGTTACGTTACGTTAAAATTACTCCGCCGTTCGGCTGAAATATTGCCTCCGCTATTTGTAGGCCTAATCGGATTGGTAAGTGTGTGTGTTTGCCAACCACGCACACTTTTGTATATATACATACACTTATTTTTGTTTGTTTGTAATTTTCTTCTTCTGTAATTTTTAGCTTTCTTGAAGTTCCTTGTTTATTTTGCTCGCGGTTATTAAGATTCCTTGGCAGCTGCAATTTGGCAAAAGCGAAAAAAATAAATAAATCTAAATTTCTACTGAATTTTGAACTACTTATGTTATGTAACGGTATCAATTAGCATTACCTTTTGTTAGTTTTACATAGGTCTTAATTAGTTTAATTAGCAAAATTTCGTTGCATTTATATTGACGGAAATGAATGTGCAAAAACAAATATACCTGTAAAGAAATTAAGAAACTGAGAAAAGGTACTTTAAGTTTACAGAAAAAAACTACAAAACGTAAAGTTCTTTAGTTGGCAAAAAATCGAATTTTGTTCATAAAACAATATGGTATATATTCCCTTCTTGGAGATTATACGCAAAGTTCCTTGTAGACCTCGAGACTTGGCAGCACTAGTGTTGCGATATGCAATAAGGTGGATTGCCGGACGAGCTGCTCAAATAAAATATGGTCCTTGTAAAATATGGTCTGGCGGAAGCGTGCCGGATGATTCGAATTTAAGTTTGCTCTCCCCAATCCACAAAAAGGAGAATCACACAATCTGCCTCAATTTCAATGGGATAAGCCTATGCGGATTCAGAGGTGGAAATGGGGGAAACTTCGACCCGTAAAAGAAAATACTGCAAACATTAAATTGATATTTGTATTGGTTTTGCATAAAGCCAGCGTAATGTTTTGGTTATAAATTTCTTTGTGTAAGTACAATATATTGAATTGGATGCAGAGTTAGAATATTTAATTAATTTAGCCGTGTACAAATTTAAATTTATGATTTCAATGATATTGATATCACTGGCCTCAACAACCCCGCCGTTTATCCAGACTGGATAAGGAAAGAAGCGTATGAATTTGATTGTGAACGAGGACAAGACGAAATACCTCACTGTTGACTGTCACAACTTTGAAATCGAATTTCGTTTTACTTGGAACAACATCAACCAACAATATTAACTTTGAAATTCAACGGTCATGTCGTCCGAATGGATGAAAAAACTCCAGCTGTAAGAGTAATTGACGCAGTACCTCTCGGGGGAAAAAGAGTAAAAGAAAGACCTCCATTCCATTGGAAAGGCCATGTGGAGAAAGACCTGGCTTCGCTTGGAACATCTAATTGGCAAAAAGAAGAAGCGCCTATTACCGCGTAAGGGGCATCTACGCAATTAAAGAAGAATAAGGAGTGTTGCGATATGGTAACTCACAACATTATCGTAAAGTATCACAATTTTGATTACTTAGAACATTATGACTTATGAGCGCTATTTGTGTTGTTTGCAGTAACATAAAATATTCCTATCGGCTAAGAAATGAAATTATATCGCGAAAATTTTCGAGTGATTATTTTTTAAAATTTTCGAATTGGGTCAACTGAGCAACATTACCATTTTTGGGGCTGAAACTCCATCATGAATTCAACTCTCCAGACGACTTTTCAACATTAATTGGAAAAAAGTCTGATCACGTTGGATCCCATACAAATTGTCAATCACTCAAAAAAAAAAAACCTCGTTTCAATTGGTGGAGAGAAATGTTAACAAATACAATAATGATGATTGTAAACATGTCTATGAACTATCGTAGTAGGTGATGAATGGTGGATTTACGGGCGGGCCCGATAGTCAATGGCAAACGAAGACGGATCACTTAACTGTACCTTTGATTTCTTTTTATTTCCGTACGAAAAAATAAACTAAATAAACCTCGTCACCTGATGAGGCGATTGGTGCGTTCAGAATGTATGTTTTTGTAGCAGCATGTTGCAAGAGTATAAAAGAAATGTAAAAGGTTATGAAACAATGACGAAATTTTTCTATCCACTAAATATCTGTAATGTGGACCACCCAATTATTCTATTAATCAACAGCAACAGCATCTATTGACAAAATACGAAAATACTTTTTCTACTGTCAATATTTCTGCTTTCAATCATTGATCGATGTAGATATTCCATATAAACCTGTTACTTAGTAAATTTGTAGTAGAAGTAAGATATAAATGGGAGGGTAGGAAACATTTATTGTGAGCGAGCTTGGTTGATTTCTGTTTGGTTGACATGACATGTGTCAAACATAATCAATAACGTTACATCATTGAACAAACAACATTATATTGTTTCATTGTGTTCAAAATGTAAAAATTTGTACCGAAAAGAAATTAATGAAACTATTAGTTTTTTTGTTTCTCTTGAAAGAAAAGTAATGCAGCGTCGAACCGAATGCTTGTCGAGACATATAGTGACAAAATGCAAAGGATGGTTTCAAAGGTTCAGATATAATGAGATGATGTCAGAAATGAAGAACGTTGAATGTGATTTTGTTATACGATAATGCACCTGTACAAAAAGCAAACCGGTACAGAATACAAACAAGTACTTGGCTGGGAGCTGCTATCCCACACACCGTGTTCGTCAGACTTGCCTTCATACGATTACGATTATTTTTTTCATCGATGAGACGCGCATTAGCAGACCACTTCTATGATTTCTACGCAGAAGTCAAAAATTAGATGTCTGATTGGTTTGTTTCAAAGGATGAATATTTTCTATTTTCATGGTATTCACAAATTGCCAGAAAGGTGGTAAAAATGTGTAAAAAGCAACGAGCATTTTGAATAATTTGATTTTTACTTTAAAAAAAGAAAGAAAAATATTTAAATTAGTATACAATTTTATACGGCAAGAAAGTGTTAATGGTTAGTGAAGCTCGGCGGTATGTCGCCCTAGATTGAAACTTTTCTGTCTCAATAAAAAAATCCATTATCCATTTTCTCGAAATATGTAAAATTTTGATTAAATATATATTAATCTTGTAAAATATTTACCATAAGTAGGGCGAAAGTCACCTTCTGCTCCAGTATTGGATATGACATCAAAAGGACAAAAGTAAATTCATTGATCCAAATGGTGCCGGTGAACATGTGCCTTTATGAACTAATCATTACGTTTCAACTCTCTAAGACATTTGTGCGCTGATTGTGTGATATACTTTTATTGCAAGTATTTGTATAATAAAATAATGTTTGCTTCTAATTGTATAGAAATATTTGTTTATATTTACATGTTAAAAGAGTATAACACAACACAAAAGAATATATCTTTAAGTAATACACGTGGAAATTGGTATGTATCATCACTAGGTAGCATCACTAACCGGTTAATGGAAATTGCGACGATATTTTTTTTTTAAGTTACGTAAAAAAAGGTTAATAAAAAGGGTAAGTTTCTTATGATTCATTGGAGCTTATATTTTGCGATTACAACATAAAATTAGCTTTACTCGTACTTCGTTGGAGTATTCACCGTATTATCTGAATTTTAATTTTATATTTATATTATATTTTTTGTCAACCGCATATTCGGTACGCACAGACAGTCACCTGTATTTCAAATCGTCTGGTCCTCCTAATCATTTATATATCCAAAAAAGCAAAATCTCACAATTTTACCCAAAAAATTTTTGACCTTTGCAGTCTGGAAACACGTACAAGCAAATTTTGAATCAGGTCAAATGCTCAAAAGAAATTGTTTTCAAGCCCTTAAGCATATACACAATTTTAAAATTATTTTCAATATTGCACACAAAGAAAAAACCCGAAAAACTTCAACAGAAAAATATCACAAATATGGACGTCGGCATGGCAAGCAACACTAGTAGTGCGCTGTCAGAGTCTTATAACGTCAATTCGCGGTGGATGTGAAGCAGTATTAATGTAAAAGGGTTAAGCAAAAATATATTAATTAAAATAAGCAATATTTTTTAATAGCAGTATTTTTTGCTGATACAAAATTTTCGTTTCTAATTAGTTGTCGCACTCAAACTGTTGATTCCA